AAGGGTAAACCCCTTTGAAATCCCTCCTGGCCAGGGGAAAGCTCCTCTCACCTATAAAGGGTTAAGAAGCTAAAGGTAACCTCGCTGGCACCTGACCAAAATGACCAATGAGGAGACAAGATACTTTCAAAAGCTGGGAGGAGGGAGAGGAACAAAGGGTCTGTCTGTGTGCTGCTCTTGCCAGAGACAGAACAGGAATGGAGTCTTAGAACTTTTAGTAAGTAATCTAGCTAGGTATGTGTTAGATTATGATTTCTTTAAATGGCTGAGAAAAGCATTGTGCTGAATAGAATAACTATTTCTGTCTGTGTATCTTTTTTGTAACTTAAGGTTTTGCCTAGAGGGGTTCTCTATGTTTTTGAATCTAATTACCCTGTAAGATATCTACCATCCTGATTTTACAGGGGGGATTTCTTTATTTCTATTTACTTCTATTTTTTATTAAAAGTCTTCTTGTAAAAACTGAATGCTTTTTCATTGTTCTCAGATCCAAGGGTTTGGGTCTGTGGTCACCTATGCAAATTGGTGAGGCTTTTTATCCAACATTTCCTAGGAAAGGGGGGGTGCAAGTGTTGGGAGGATTGTTCATTGTTCTTAAGATCCAAGGGTCTGGGTCTGTAGTCACCTAGGCAAATTGGTGAGGCTTTTTACCAAACCTTGTCCAGGAAGTGGGGTGCAAGGTTTTGGGAAGTATTTTGGGGGGAAAGACGCGTCCAAACAGCTCTTCCCCAGTAACCAGTATTAGTTTGGTGGTGGTAGCGGCCATTCCAAGGATAACGGGTGTAATATTTTGTACCTTGGGGAAGTTTTGACCTAAGCTGGTAAAGATAAGCTTAGGGGGTTTTTTCATGCAGGTCCCCACATCTGTACCCTAGAGTTCAGAGTGGGGGAGGAACCTTGACAAATACTCTATGTACACTGCTATGCACATTGTTTGAATCTCCTCCTAGTAGATGCATGCACTTCAAGTAAACAAAACAGAACTGTCTTTGATTTTTTTTTTGTGTGTGTGTTATTCAGACTCTTTATGCCTTCATGGAGGGGAGTCCTGTGCAACATGCAGTAGTGGAGAAGATTTCACAAGAAGTAGGATCCCAGTTGAAGACTTTGAAGTCACTGTCAAACACAAGATGGGCATGCAGAGCAGAAGCAGGGGCTACTGTAAAACAAAACTACTCCATCATTTTACAAGCTTTATAAGAGATTATCAAAACAACTCGCCTTCCTGATGCTAAAATAAAAGCCAGGGGCCTTATGCAGTAACTAAATTCATTCAAGTTCATCTTTGCCCTTCACATGATGCACCCTATTCTCCAGATGGTGGTAAAAGTGAGTAAGGCTCTTCAAGTTTCAGATCTCAACTTACTTACTGCAATGACAGGGGTGAAAAGCTTGTGTAACTCTTTGGCTGTGATGAGAAGTGGCCCAGAATATTTTTTATCTATTTTCAATGACAGTGTGAAAATGTGTGTAGAGAATGATACATCAATTCCCCCAGTTAAGAAGAGAAAAATGTCCACTGGTATTGATGACGCGTTTGAGTCCCAGCATCACTTTGATACAAAAGAGGAGCAGGAGAGAATAACTTCGTCTTACCCACTCCTAGACTCAATGATTACCGGCATTGACCAGCAATTTGAACAGGAGACTTGTAAAATTGTGACTGCATTGGGAAAACTGCTGAGCTTAGACATTGGCAGGAACAATATGAGAATCATTGCCAACAAATTTAAAGTGTCCTTGGATGAGTTGGAAGCTGAAGTCAGATTGCTTCGGGGTTATGACGTATCTGTTCCTAAAGGTAGCACTACAAACACCACCGGAGAGTGACTTGATTGGCTAAAGGAATCAGATCGGCCTTCCATGTTCCAGGCCTTTTACAAATCTATTCAATGCTTTGCAGTCTTATCTGTTACAAGCTGTTCATGTGAAAGAGCCTTTTCAAAACTAGCACATGTAAAAAACAAACTAAGTACAATGTCCCAACAGCGCCTCCACTCACTCATGATTTTGTACATTGAACAAGTATTGGCTTAGTCAGTTAATTACAATGATGTGACTGAGGAATTTAAGTCCATAACACCTGGTGAGCGATGTCTCTTTCTCTAGGACAGAAAGATGAAGAAACCTTAAACTGTTTTGGTCAATTTGGGTTAGCTCATTATCTGGTTAAAGATAAAGATCATGAAAATTGACTGTATTCTTGTATACGCCTGGTTATCACTGCAGCAAAAATTTGGTATTTTGTGTCTTATTTTTTAAGTTTGTATTTTTTAAATAAACTTTAGTTGTTAATTTAAAAATAAGTTTTAGTTAAGTTTTAGTTTCTTTTGTTTGTTTGAATAAAGAATAATGTCCCTTATGATTGAGTATTCAATAAATGTTGGCATTAAAAAAAAAAAATTCCTGGGTGCACACCCTAATGGTATGTGAAGCACACGCCTATGGGGCCCAGAAATGGCGCTGAACGCTGTGCAGCTGCTCCTCTAATTCAAATAGCTCAACACTGTCCTCTTCCTCCTCATCCTGCTGCCAGAGGAGTTGCTGCTGCTGCCATAGAATATTCTGCTCCTGCATCATCTGCTTGGTGGTGTGCGATGAGGTCCAATGCCAGATTCATCCGACTTTGTCTGCTGTAATACAACCCAAGCAACCTCTATATATTCACACTTGGCACCATGGAGCATTGTTGCTGTCCTGCTGGCAGACTGTAATTTGAATATGGCACGAGCCCACCCAGAATGGAAGTATGTGGTGGAGACAGCAGAAACGTGGGGTTAAAAAAACTGTGTTTGAACACACCTGGCGGCCCACAATTCAGTGAACACAATCTCAGGCTGCACACAGCTCGAAAGCAAAGCAGAGGATCGTGGGATACCCCGAGAATGCTATGCCCGCCATTCACAGCAAACTGCTTCATGTGTTCATGAAAATGGAACGGGCAGTCTGTGTGCGCACTATAAGGGCGTGGCTACACTTGCAAATGTAGAGCACTTTGAGTTAAACCCGCCTTCGGAGAGCGCAGTAGGGAAAGCGCTGCAGTCTGTCCACACTGACAGCTGCAAGCGCACTGGCGTGGCCACATTTGCGGCACTTGCAGCAGCATTGAGAGCTGTGCATTGTGGGCAGCTATCCCACAGAGCACCTCTTCCCATTCTGGCGCTGTCCCTTGTGGGAAGGGAGGGGGGGTGCGTGGGGCATTCTGGGTCCTGTCCCAATGCCCCGTTATGCGTCGGTTCGCATCCCAGCAATCCCTCTGCTTCCGGCCACAATTGGCACAATCTTTCAACGTTTTTTGTACTGCATGCTCTGTCTTCCCTTTCGGTCTGCGGGAATGGAGCCCGAATTGCTGAGGAACATGCTGACGAGTCTTGCCAGCACATCACATTTGGCAGTCGAGTTACTCCTTAAGATCCAAAGTGACAGTGAGGACTCTGACGATGATATTGACGCGAGTAACGAATACGACACGAGATTGCTTGTGGCATTCACAGACATGCTCACCACAGTGGAACAGCGCTTTTGGGCTCGGGAAACAAGCACTGAGTGGTGGGATCACATCAACATGCAAGTCTGGGATGACGAGCAGTGGCTGCAGAACTTTCGGATGAGAAAAGTCACTTTCATGGGACTGTGTAAGGAGCTCACCCCCACCCTGTGGCACAAGGACATGAGATTGAGAGCTGCCCTGACAGTGGAGAAGCAGGTGGCTATTGCAATCTGGAAGCTGGCAACTCCAGACAGCTACCAATTGGTCACTAACCAGTTTGGAGTGGGGAAGTCGACTGTTGGAATCGTGTTGATGCAAGTTTGCAGGGCCATTAATCACATCCTGCTCAGAAGAACCGTGACTCCGGGTAACGTGCATGACATTGTGGCTGGCTTTGCACAAATGGATTTCCCTAACTGCAGAAAGAAAATGAGTACTTGTGGCACCTTAGCGACTAACCAATTTATTTGAGCATAAGCTTTCGGGAGCTACAGCTCACTTCATCGGATGCTGTAGCTCACGAAAGCTTATGCTCAAATAAATTGGTTAGTCTCTAAGGTGCCACAAGTACTCCTTTTCTTTTTGCGAATACAGACTAACACGGCTGTTACTCTGAAACCTAACTGCAGAGGGGTGATAGATGGCACACACATTCCAATTCTGGCACCAGCCCACCTAGCCTCTGAGTATGTTTAATCGGAAGGGCTATTTCTCTATGGTTCTCCAGGCCCTTGTGGATCACCATGGGCGTTTCATTGACATTAACGGAGGCTGGCCCGAAAAGGTGCATGACACATGCATCTTTTGGAACACTAGCCTGATCAGGAAGCTGCAAGCCAGGACTTTTTTCCCAGACCAGAAGATCACCATGGGGAAGTCGAAATGCCCATTTTGATCCTTGGAGGCTCCGCTTACCCTTTAATGCTGTGGCTCATGAAACCCTACATAGGGAGCCTTGACAGCAGCAAAGAGCAGTTCAACAACAGGCTGAGCTGGTGCAGAATGACTGTGGAGTGTGCTTTTGGCTGTTTAAAAGGCCGCTGGTGCTCTCTATATGGGAAGCTGGACCTGGCCCACAACAGCATCCCCATTGTTATAGCCGTGTGTTACCCTTCCCTTCACAAATATTATGGAGGGTTCAGAAGATTCACTCAGGCATGGAACTTGGAGGTTCAACACCTGGAGGCTGAATTTGAACAGCCAGAGAGCAGGGCTATTAGAGGGGCCCAGCACGGGCCTGCAAGGATTAGGGATGCCTTGAGGAAGCAATCTGAGGCTGAAAGCCACCAGTAATGTCTGGTGCCCTGCACGGGAGTGAAGTGCAGTGGTTCCAATGTTAGTAAGAATCTGTGTTTGCTACATATGATACACTGACTTGCAGTGCCTGTTGCTTTCCTGGGCTAAGGTATCTTTTACGTTATGCAATAATAAAGAATGTTTTCAAAGCCAAAAAATCCATTTAATGAAAAGAAAATGCATTTATTGAAAAGAAACACAACTGCATGGGAAACAAAAAGGGCAAGGGGCTGGGGTGGGGAACGGTACAATCACAGGTGTGCGTATGTCCTGTTACCACACTCAGCCTTCCTGTCTGGAGTGCTGTGCAGTGAGTGCTGCTCTTCAGGATGGCTATACTGCACGGTGATGGGGGTTGAGTGCAGTGGGTAAGGGTTGTAGTTTTCAGGGCTGGGTGGTGAAGCTACAGGTGTTGGAGGCAACTGGTGGCGATAAGAACCCAGATGTTGGGGAAAGTGGGTTGGAGGTGACATGGGGGCACAAGGGAAAGAGTTTTGGGACAAGGGCTGCGGGGGTGGGGGCGGTCGGGTGCGGTAGTGCTCCGCCTGCATGGCTACAAGTGCCTGGATCAAGTCCACTTGGCGCTCCATGATGCTTATCAGACACTCTGTGCTTTGATACCAGGGATCTGTATTCTGCTGGCGGACCCTCCTTTCACTCTCCTACAACTCCTGCACTTTTTGATTTTCATTAAGGGAGTGTTGCATGACTTCATGCAGCATGTCCTCTTCGCTTCTACGTGGCCTCTTCCTGATTCTTTGCAGACTCTCAGCCGGTGATAACATGGATGGCTGAGATCTCAAGGTTGCATCTGTAAAGGCAAAATGTAACACTTAACAGGGGTAGCATTGTTCACACCAGACAGAGCAATGATTCCCCCGTACTTAAGGAAGGCAAGCACAGTCTACACAATAGCATAATTTGCCTGTCCCAAACCGAGCACACACAACCCCTGGGAGCCCCAAAATGGTGAGTAAGCACAGGGGCAAGGGGGACTGATTGTTTCATGGCTGTACTATCTTCTGGGTTTCTGTACCTTGGGGAGAACCAACAGCTGCAGGGGGCCCCTATACTGAACACTGTCCCCACATTTTCTGGAGGAGTTCGTCCTGGAAGATATCTCGCTGCTGAGAGTGACCTGGGAAGCAAGGGAGGGTTTTCAATTACAATGCGGCTTCTGCCCTGGCCCATATGCAGCTTGCTTGTGTGCAGCAATGGTCCTTCCGCCCCTCATGGCACAGTGGTGTGGACATGTTAGCCTGACTAGGACAAGGACCACAGGGGCTCTCCCACAAAACCTGCACAACTGCATTGCCCAAGTTCTGGATGAGACCTTTGACGAGATCACTGATGCCGATTACCATGATGTGAGAGAGCACATCAACATCCTATTCCGCATCTAGGCATGCATGCAGCCCTAACCCTCCTCACCCCAAGAGCCCGCACCGAATAACTTCCTTCCCAAAATAAAAGCCACTTACCGGGAGCCTCCTCTGGTGTTTGTCCTTCCCCAAGCACCGGCCGCCGTGACTGGCTACCTTCCTCCTGGCTTGAGAACAGCTCCTGGCTGCTTGCATCTGGGGATGCTGGGGTGTCTTCCTCCTCCTCAGCACCCTCGCTCCCGCTTTGCTGCTCCTCCTCCTCCTGCCTTGTTGAACTGGGCTCTGAAGTGTCCATGGTGGTACTCAGAGTGGAGGTGGGGTCACCCCCAAGTATTGCATCCAGCTTTTTGTAAAAACGGCAGGTCACGGGGGCAGCACCGGAGCGGCTGTTTGCCTTGCGGGTTTTGCGGTAGGCATTCTGCTGCTCCTTCACTTTAACCCTGCACTGCACTGCATCCCGGTCATGGCCCCTTTCCATCATGTCCCTTGATAGCTGCCCAAAGGTATCGTAATTCCTACGGCTGGAGTGCAGCTGGGACTGGATAGCTTCCTCCCCGCAGACACTGATGAGGTCCAGCACCTCGCCATTGCGCCATACTGGGGATCTCATGGCCCGTGGAGGCATGGTCACCTGGAAAGATTCGCTGAGAGCACTCCACGCCTGGCTGAGCAAACAGAGAATTTAAAGGGTGGGTCTGACTGCAGGTCGCCTGAGGGCAGGGCAGTAGAGTTCAAAGTGATGAGCAGAGTGGCTAGAACAGGCATTGTGGGACACTTCTGGAGGCCGATCAGTGTGCATTGACAGACCAGGGCGTCCACACTGGGGCCACGGCGCTCCGGCAGGGTGCATCACACGTTATGCCACTCGCCGAGGTGGAGTACCAGCAGCGCGCTAGCCGTGGAGTCAGAGCGCTCTACATGCCTGGCCAGTGTGGCTGCGTCGTGAGCTAGCGTGCACCGGGCTGCTTTAATGCGCTGTAACTCGCAAGAGTAGCCATGCCCTAAGTGTGATGTGTACTACTGGGAGTTACCTGCGGCATGTCAAAGAGTTTCTGGTTAAATTCCCTGTGTAGACACACCCATAGATTTGATTATATCCCCTCTGTCAACACACCCATTTCACTGAGCTCTTGTAGAAAGTAAATTTCTTGTTCCTCTGCTCATTAGCATTTTATCTGAGTGTATTTCTACGGGCTTGTCTACACTGGCACTTTACAGCACTGCACCTCTCTCGCTCGGGGTGTGAAAAAACACCCCCCTGAGCGCAGCAAGTTTCAGCTCTGTAAAGCACCAGTGTAGACAGTGCACCGGCGCTGGGAGCCGTGCTCCTGGCGCTGGGCGCTGCGCCCCTCGTGGAGGTGGGTTTTTTAGAGCACTGGGAGAGCTCGCTCCCAGCGCTCTGCTGTGACTACCCAAGCTACGTTAAAGCACTTTAATGGTGCCAGCGTAGATTAGCCCTAAGTGCTAAAATAGTGTAGGCAGGGTCAAATGTGTCAGAGCCTAGCCAGGAGTAAGGGTCAGTGTTATGACTGGGGTGATGTATTTTGACCAGTCCACTTTGGACCCACTTTGTCTGGCCCTGATAATAGCTCTGAACTTCCAAAGCAGTGGACAATGTTGGAGCAATGGCCAAAACATGGCACACTCCCTCTTCTATGGTCACAGTGTTTCAGTCCCTCTTTGTAGGGGGTTTTAACCTCATATTTTAGCCAGTTTCCAACTTGGGCAATAACATTCTAATTACCTCAGATCAACTCTGGTCATTGCAATTGAATAAAGGGCTGGATTATTACCTAGCTTAACTGTGTGTTGCTAAACAGTTCCCATATTTCTTTCAGAGGTGGTTGCATTTTAATGGTGGTTCAATGATTTTTTAAGATTAAAAAACTAGAATCACTCTGCCTGGCCTAAGTCAGTGCAAATTGATCCTCTCTGCTCTGATGAGGACCTCGGTACTGGAAGGGGAATTCCTTCCTGAGGGAAGGCAGATGGAACAGTTGGTGTGTTTTCTGCGAAGGACCACTTCAGTTTCTGTCATTGTGCTCCAGAGAAACCTCCAACAGCAGAGGCTGCTACTGGAGTAGATACGCTACATCAGCTTGCAATTTGGCCCCCCGGCCCCCACTCCACTCAGCGAGCCCTACCCATTCTTGCCACTCTGCCACAGTACTGCGGGCCCCTTGATTGACCCACTGCAGCCTTCTCTTGGCAGACTTTCCCCCAGGAGGGCCTACCTGCACCTCGGTTTATGCTGGGAGAAACTGCTATGAATCTGGTCTACAGGCTTATAAAGCTTGATTAAGCACTTTAGTGCCTTGCATTTAATCCAAGACTATGTAAATATCATCATCACTGCTATTCTTGCAGAGTACAAAGAAACCATAACCACAATATGAGATCCTTTGTGGCATGTTATTTTATAGGAACTAAATAATGACATAATTACTCAGTATGGCATCATAATAGGTTTTGATAATTACTGTCACCCACTGTGTTGCCATAAGTACTGATAGACTGGACTTAAGTATAAATACCAAATAGACCATTACAGAAGTACTTATAAGTACAAGTGTACATAGTCTTTGGAAATAGTACTGAAATTAAGTAAAAATACAACTATAAGCGCAAGTGCTTTTAACTCCTGTATTCCCTGCAAGTGTCTGGTCAATATATGGATAACTGCTGAAATAATAAGCACACAGTGGAAGAGAAAGAAAGAGATGCAGCTACTGTGTTTGTTTGCTCAATCCAGGGCACTAAGAGGTATGTGTCTGCCTGCTCTGCTCTGGCACAACTCATCCCTTCGCTGGGCAGAGCAGCGAGTCTCCCTGCTGCTGACCTGGGCCAGGGAGCGACTCGTGAGTCTCCGCACTACAGGTTGCAGTGACCAATCAGGAATGAAGGGGGCAGGACTGCCACCCTCATTGGCTGGTGCAACTGCGGGGCCAAGAGAAGAGAGCGCTGGCAGCCAGAACTCAGGACGTGGAGCTCCCAAGACAGGACAGTGGTTCTGTGAGACAACCAGAATCCAGGACACTTGGGAGGGGTGTGATGTGTTTTTGAAACAATTTTGGAAAAGTACTTACAGATTTAAAAAATTACTTATGCTCTAAGTACCTTTAAAATGTAAATGCAAATATCAAATACAGGATATATGAAGTACTTAAGTACAGGTGTGTAGAGTACTTCAGAATACTTAAGTACAAATGGGAACCTTGCTTTCACCAAAACTCTAGATTTCCTCACCAAACCTGCCATAGAGAATATCTGCAAGTTCATAAACCAGTCAGTATCTTGGTATAAGGCTTTGATAATCTCAGGCTTGAATCTCTTGGCATTGCTTTTATCCACACTGCTGAATCACCAGAAATACGCATTCAAATAGGAATTTACGTGACTGTCCTAGAGCAAACATACAAATGCCAAATGAATTCTCAGCAGAAATGATATTTTTATCAACTTCACACCTTTGAGATGAGCAGTGATTTGATTTAAAACAGAGTATTAGCTGGAGCCAGAACTAGTGTTTTACCTTTGGCAGCAGCGCAGACTGATGAATTAGCTGCTAGCATTTATCACAATGCTGAAGTGTCACTTACATTGCTATAGTAACTACAGGTGCAGAACAATCACAAAACCAAGCAAATCTCAGTGTGGAATGGGTTAAGCAGAGTTACATCTAAAGCTGTTTCTGCCTGAAGGCTGGTAAAGCATTAAACTACAAATCGTGTGGTACAGAAGTTCTGAGGCTGTGGAAGAACTAGAGTTGGAAAGTGGCAATTGTTGAAACCTACTATCTGAGGCCTGGTCTACCCTACAAAGTTAATTTGACATATGTTGCCTTGCACCGACCTATTTGTGCATATGTCTAGACTCTCATTTGTCTCTGGCTAATGTAAGTGCCCAATTACAACGATGCAATAAAACCACCTCCCCCAGTGGCTTGGAGACATGGTAGACCTACTGAGGTCAATGCAGTGCAAGTGAAGACGCTGCATGATCTATGCTGACCCTAACATGCCCCTGTGACCGGGACTGCTCTGGTGAGAGTTGTGAGTGCCACTGCCCAGGGGTTATGGAGACTGGAAGCCACTAACCCCTACCTCCCCCCAACACTCCCACCCAGCATATTTTTGAAATGCCTTCTTGATTGCCCACCTTGGTGAGCATACCTAGCAACTCCCCCTTGTGTGTGACTGCCCAACCAACCGCTCCGGCTCCATCCAGTAGATGCCTGGAGCAGGCTCAGAAGATCCAATACCTGTCTACAGAGAGAAGAGGAAGCCATAGAAACATGGACATCTACAAGCAGATTGTGCAGGGGATCCAGGCAAAGGGGTATGACAGAGATCAGCAGTGGTGCTGCATGAAAGTGAAGAGACTGTGGCAGGCATACATACTGCAAGGCCAGGGAGGCCAACAATAGATCTTGTGCTGCTGCACAGCCTGCTGCTTTTACAATGAACAGCATGCCATACTTGGCGAAGACACCACCAGCACCCTGCAGACCATTGTGGGTACCTCAGAGGACCCGAAGACAGAGACCTCTGCTGTGAACAGTGGGGGTGTGTGGGGAGAGGAGGGGTGAGACATGGCACAGGCCCATGAGCCAGGACCTGTTTGAGACTCCCCCACAGTCTAGCCAGTCCCACCAGGCAAGCCTGATGAGGGGGAAGGAAACACAGGTAAGCATGTGCATGCATTTTTCCTTATAATGTTTAAATTTAAATATGGCACCTGGCCCATCTCCAAGTTAATAAGACAAAGGTATTGTCTTTTCATTGTTTTACTCATACAAGAAGAGGTAGAGGTACATGTGACAGAATATACCCCTGTGTTAACACCCGACACATTATTGTAATAATTACAAGGCATGACTTGTGAGGTCTCATTTAAAAACATAATTTTCTGATCAGTAATATCGTGGCAAAATGTATGTAGCAGCATCATATGTGAAGTCATCAACTAACTGAAATCATGACTAAAAGTATATTTTCCAGTCTGGGAAGTGGCTAAACCAGTTCCTTTGAGACAAAGGGAAAGCTGACACATCAGTCAGGTGTAAACACTGTAGGGAATGCTTCTCAAAGGGAGGACAGGGCTATAGAAAGCAGGGGAAGACAACCCCTCTCTCTCTTCCTGCTCAACGCATTCACTGCAACTGAAGAGACAAAGGAAGCTGCCATTAGACTACTGGGGAGGGATCCTGACCTAAAGAGTTTGCTCAGTAAGACTGCTGAAAGCATGGGGTGAGAAAACTTTGCTTTGAATCTAATATAGTTTGTTAGGCACCAGTAAGCATTTTATCTTCATTTTTCTTGTAACTATTTCTGACTTTTATGCCTCATTACTGGTACTCACTTAAAATGTCTTTCTTTGTCGTTAATAAACTTGTTTTATTGTTTTATCTAATACAATGAGTTCAAGCTGAAGTGTCTGGGTAACCCCATTAGGGTTAACAAGGTATGTGCATATTACTCCCTTAATAATAAGGAGTCAATAATAATATATTGAGTCCATTATTCCTTTTAAGGAATAATGGACTCAATATATTTGTACTGTCCAGGAGAGGGCTTGGCAGTACAGGACACACATTTCTGAGGGGAAATCTGGGACTGGGACTGTGTGTGATAATCTTTAAGGCTGGTAAGAGCCAAGGTGTGGTTGGTTGGCTGCAGCACACACAGACATAGTTGGGAGTGACTACATGCTGGAGGCTGTGACAGTCCAGGTTGGAGGCTACAACAGCAAGGCCAGAGACAGAGTAAGGCTTTGTCAGACCCTGGGCCAGAGCAAGTGGGGGCCCCTCCCCAACCCTTCCACCTGCAGTCCCCCACGCCTCCCCTGGCACTACTGCTGGGGAAATTGGGGTTGGGAGGGGGGCTTCCCCTGCTCTCCCAGTGCTCCTGCTGGGGAGCAGAAGAGGGGAGAAAGCCCCCCACGCCCTGACCCTGCTCCCCGGCAAGAGGGCTGGGCAGGTGGAACAAGTCAGGGTGCAAGGGCGCCCATTTTTCTGGAGGACCCCCAATTGGCTGGTTCATGGTTCACGCAGTGGCTGGTCAGAGAGCCTGCATGTAACTGCAGCTGGGTGTGTCCCTGCCCATGTGAATGCTGGTGGCACTGTAGGACCAGGAGTGGGTCTGCAGCTTGTCACAGCAGCACAGTGTGAGAAGGAGCCCAGGCTGGTGAGTCAGAGGGCTCAGTGGTACCCCACTTCCAGGTGGCACCCCGGGGCAACCCATCATATGGGGACCAACATTTTATAGATTCATTCAAGAGAACAGCCTCCCGCATCATCAGCCCCCACCCGCCCCTGGAGGACCACACTCACCATGGCTGGGAAATGCACCAGGACATAACAGATCTTCTTGGGTGGGAGAACCAAATGGTGCAGACCCGGTTGATTACACGTCCAAAAATTTTGGACACT